TTGCTACACAGTTCAGCAGTTCAGGCTGGCCTTGAGCTTACTTTGTAATCCAGGCTAGCCTCAAACTTGCAACAATCCTCCTGCCTCAACATCCTGAGTGCTGGGATCACAGGCGTGTGCTACCACACCCAGCTATAATTGTACTACTAGACAGTATTTCTGGAACTCAGTTTTCTGCTGTGTTGTACCTTTCCCTCTGGGTAGATCTTCTTGAGCAAGCACAGGGCAGGCCATGCCTTTTTAGGAAGGCCCTGTTGAGGTCTGGTAGACTGAAAGGTATTATTAGCAGGTTTTGGATTAAAGGACTTTTGTGGTCTTCTGTGGCTTCTAGACCAGAGTAGCTAAGACTAATAGAAAAAACCACTATTGTGGTCCTGTGGTAAGCTCTTCAAAAACTTAGCTTTTCTGTGAGGTAGGTTCTCATCTTGTATTCAAATAGCCTTTATTCATTTGTGACCTGAAGTTTGTTTGGTGCTTCTATGCTTTGTATTAGATAGCAAGGCGTAAATATTTTGAAAATTTTTAAAATGTGCTTTGGTCATAGAGCACAGTTTCAGTGCTCTTGATTAGACTTGGAAGTACTGATGGCTGAACCTGGCTCAGTGATCGCTGAGAGCACAACCTCATTCATTAGAGTCCTTGGGTGCTAGCATCGTCACCTGCCTATTTAGCCATGAGGCCGCAAGCACAAAGGGCAGGCCAGGCTCTTCCTCTCCCACCTTCTCTGTCTCCAGACCCATGTGTCCTGGCTTTTGTTTTGCTAGCATGCCAACGAGGAGAACCCCCCTCCCATTCAGTCCTCAACGACCTTCTCCACGTCAGCACCATCCTGTTCAAGTGCCCCTTCCTCAAGTGTCAGCCCACCTGGCAGCATGAGCACAGGGAGCAGCCTCTGCCTGGGTGGGACCACTGTGAGCACACCCAGCAGCACAGGCAGGGCCGTGCCCTTGGTGACTTCAGGTATGTACCCTGGGCTTTCCATGCTCGTCCTGGGCCCTTCACATCTGTACATGTTGCTTCCTAAGAAGTGTGCCAATGTATGGTGAGTAGGCACAAGTGCTAGCAGATTGATTGTATGTCACTTGGCCACTGCCATGGCATGCATTGACCTGGTGAGGCTGATCTTCCAGCCTCCATAAGGGAAGGATGGGGTCACTTGCCAGGTGAGCAGGATTCCTAGAGGCCTCTATGCTTCTGGCTCTCCATTATTTTCTGCCTTATTCCTGGAGCTGAATTAACATGGTGACTTAGAGGAGTCTAGCATGACCTGTCACGTGTCCATCTCCTGGACACTTTATGTGATGGTTTGTCAGCTAGACCTGCTTTTGACACAGCCTGTTGCTTTCCTGGCGCTGCATGGTTTCTGTGTCAGTTTTCCATGGATGTGCCAAAGCACCTGAGATAAACAGCTTAGAGAAAGGTTTTTGCTCATGGTTTCAGGTTTTAGGCCATCATGACTTGGTTTCGTGTTTATGAGCCTGTGAGCTGATGAGGCAGCATCATGTTGAAGAAGATACAGTGGAGGAAAGCTGCACATCTCTTGAGAGCCAGGAAGCAAAGGGGGGCCAGGGTCCCAGCACACCCTTCAGATGGCCTCCTACCACATACCTCCTTCCTCCAGTTTAGGTCCACCACTAACAGTCCACTACATCTGGAACCACCACCAGTTAGAGACCAAGGCTTAGCACATTAGCTTTAGTGGAACTTTGCAGATCTAAACAAACATAACATGGCACAAGCGAGATGACGAAGGGACCGTCATCCTTTGGAAAGCATTGTAATAAGACGCACACGTTGTGCCGCCACTGTGGCTCTATGGCCTGCCACTTCAGAAGTCGACTTGTGACAAATGTGGCTATCCCACCAAGTGCAAGAGAAAGTATAACTGGAGTGCAAAGGCTAAAAGGTGACATACCACTGGAACCGGTCGAATGAGGCACCTAAAAATTGTATATCGCAGATTCAGGCATTGGCTTCCGCAAAGGAACACCTACCCCCAAGAGAGCAGCAGTTGCAGCGTCCAGTTCATCTTGAGAATTGCAGCAATCACTCAAAATAAATGCTTTGGTTTTAAAAGATAAAAATAAAAATTAAAAAAAATTAAATCTAACAGCTTCCTTCTGTTTGGAGGAGGCATATTGTCTATGCTCATGTTTGCTCAGTGCAGTGTGACCTTTGGGATTGGAGAACAACAGGTACTTCTCTGTGTAGAATTTTCTGGTGTTAAAACATTCTGAATGTGGTAGCATGTGGTTTTTGTCTATTAGCCACTTTCTAGCATTACCGTCTCTAGGCTTTTGTTCCACCGTCTAAATCACAGATCCATTGGGGCAGTACTGTGGCCAGCTGAGCTCAGTGACCTGTGCCTCCTTCCAGAGCAGCTGGGGAAATCTCACTCTTTGAGGTGTCTGCCCTACTGTATTGGATTTTCACTCTATAGGCAAAGTACCCCCAAACCTGCCTCAAGGGTTACCTCCCCTGCTGCACAACCAGTACCTCGTGGGCCCCGGAGGACTACTTCCTGCCTACCCGGTGAGCACATGGTGCAACTCCTGGTTGGACCTGGTGAGGGGGCTTTGGGTTGGGCCAACGATATCCAACTTGGGCTGTGCTCTCTGAGCTTCCTATCTCTGCCTTTTTAATTCCCGATGTGTCTTCCACTGTCTAGAGGACTCTTGGGCAGTTTTGGTTCCGACAGCAGCTGATCCAGGTCCTATTCTTGGGTGTGTCTTAACTGCCTAACCTTTAGCCCCTGGATGGCCTTGCATTTCCCAGGGGATGGCATTTGGTTCCTTATGTACTATTTCTGGTTCTCATGCAGATTTATGGCTATGATGAGCTCCAAATGCTGCAGTCACGGCTGCCTATGGTAAGTGGATTGGTGGAAGCTGTGACAGTTTTTCTTCCCTGTCTTTTCTCCCTTGGCTTTGACTGCCACCCTCATTGGCCTTCAGGATCCTCAGTCCATGTAACTTCTAGCACCACTGGTGAGAAGGCTGTTTTCATTTGGTGACTGTGCCTGTTGTGGCCATAACTTTGGCAGATAAATGCCTTAAGGAAGTTGGAATCCTTTGGGAACTGGTTCCCCAGAAGATTCTTAAAGCCATGTAGTACAAGACATGAAGCTCTTACTTAGCCCTGAGCTATATAAAATCTCCCACAAAGCACTTGATGGTTCTTTGGAATCTGTTGGCCAACCCTTGTGTCTGTGATGACAGCATCACTGAATCTACTGAGAGGTGACTTTATTGTCCATAGGTGTGTTCTGGGCCTGGCCTCTCATTCCACCCTGGGATATCCTGGTTTTTGTAGCCACCCTGTCAAGGTCACAGATGCCTCTTCATTCTGACCCAGTGTAAGAGGATGAAGCCCTCCCTGGCCTTCCATAGGAGCAAAAGGGATGGGCAAGAAGTAGCTTGGCTGGGCTTCATTCTGGGTGGCTACTCTTCTTTTCTTTTTTTCCCCACCTCTTAGCCTGATGTTTCCTGAAGCATCTGTCAGAAGACTGTCAGACCCCTGGTTATGATCTTCCTGTCCCTATTCTCAGACTCCTGGTTATGGTCTTTCCTGTTCTTAATCTCTCTCTTTAGCCTCTTGACAGTTTATCCTGAACATCACCCAGGCAGGTGTCATTTTAGCCAGTCAATTCTTAGATTGAATGAATTTGGTACAGTAGTCATTGTAATATTTCCTGTCATTTTATCTTTTAAAAATTGAGAAGGTATGCAATTTTTGATCAGTCTATATTTAAAGAATGAGTTTGGTAAGTGGTTAGGTGCTCCCATGGGTATTGCCCAGCACTTCCTCTGCTAAGTTGGCAGGAGCTGTAGAGCTGCAGGTGCTGCCTGTCCTCTCAGTGTTGCTTGGGCAGGAGTGTTTCACCTATGGCATCATGAAGCTACTAGGGTGAGGCTGGCCGAGAGCCTGCTGGATCTCTGGCAGGCATCTTCCATATACCAGCTGTGCAGTGCAGGAACGATGTTCCCCCAGTTACTGCACTCCTGACCCTTCTCCTTTGTGGGTTTTTTTTTGTTTGTTTGTTTTTTGTTTTTTCTTGATTTATGCTTTAGAGAAAATCCTCCCTCAGCCCACATTTGGGATAAGTTGCTTTTAATTTATCTGTGGGTCATTTTTTAACATTTGCAGCTTTTGTGCCTAATTCCTGCCTATAAAAGAATTCCTCATTGTCTGTGAATGGGCCCTTCCTTCTGGGCTTGCATCACAGCTCCCACGGATGTGTTCTCGTGAGCTATCTAGCTGCCTCCTAAGGTTCTGAGCTGAGGGTATGTGGGTCTTCTGCAGATTACCTGGAGATGTGGCCCAGAATGGTCAGGGTGGCTAGGGTGGCCCAGCAGCTTGCTTGCCCTGTGCTGAGATACCAGGTACATCTCATACTGGAAAGCGTGAGGGGCAGGGCAGGGCTGCCTTGCAGCTTTGTCTTCACATTGGTATAGCTCCCATCCTTTGCCTGGATTCTCTGCAGTGTTGTTGCCAAGACAGAGAGTAGGATGGAGGCCAGGGGGCTTAAATCTGGCTCCTGTGCTGGCTTGGCACTATTTTGTGCCCCTTTAAACCTTCAAGGTTCTTTCTTCTGTTCACCAACTTTCCTGGCTCCTCTTTTAGTCTCACACAGGAAAAGCCAGTGAAGTTAGTTCACAAGCGACCACCCCTGGAGTGACATGGATGTGTGAGATTGGTCCTCTAAAGCAGTGGTGCTGATCAGGGTTCCTGAGCTGCACACACTCGAGGCTGCCATTTGCCCACAGCTAGCTGAATGCTGCCTTTGAGCCATGCAGCCTCTAGGAAAATGTGCCATTACCCAGAGTGCCTTGTGCCTGTGTTGCTTACTGGGTCTGTCTCCTGAGATGGAGGAGATCATTTGCTGAAGGAGTCTTCTGGTCTTTCGTAGGATTACTATGGAATTCCCTTTGCTGCACCCACAGCCCTTGCCAGCCGAGATGGGAGCCTGGCTAATAACCCGTATTCAGGTTTGTTGGCTCAGTGGATGAAAGTGGGAGGGTGGGATTTACCCTGTAGCTAATCCCAGGAGAGTAGAAGGTCTAAGAGGTGTTTTGTAGCTGCTTGTACTTGAGCTGCCAGCCAGACTTGTTACTGTGCAGAAGCCAGTCACGTCTTTTTCCTTGGTTGTATATGGTTCAGTGTTCTTCCCCTAGGTGATGTCACAAAGTTTGGCCGAGGTGACTCTGGATCTCCTGCTCCTCCCACCACACTAGCTCAGCCACAGCAAAGCCAATCCCAGACGCACCACACAGCCCAGCAGCCCTTTTTGAATCCTGCACTGCCACCTGGCTACAGCTACACTGGCCTTCCCTATTACACTGGTGTCCCCAGTGCCTTCCAATATGGGCCTACCATGTTCGTGAGTATTTGTGGGGGTCATACTTCTTCCTCCTGGTCTTGCATCCCTGAAAGCATGAAACCTGGGAGTACAAGCAGGGGTGGGCACAGGTCATGGCCCCACTCAGTCTCATGTGGCCTTCAAGAGCTGTTCAGGCTGAAGAGGAAGTTACATTCCCCATCTGCTTTACGATCCATGTGTTGCATTGAAGACAGCACAGGTCCTCTCTGGTCGTGGGTATATTACCTGCTGTCTAAAGCTAAAGCAGAAGATACCAGACCTGTTCTGTCTCCCTGCATTACTCTTTAAGACTAGTACTCACCTGCTTGCCCCACTAGGTCCCTCCAGCCTCAGCCAAACAGCATGGTGTGAACCTCAGCACCCCCGCCACCCCTTTTCAGCAGGCCAGTGGCTATGGTCAGCAAAGCTACAGCACAGGTGAGGGGTGATCCCAGCAGGGACAGAGATAGGGCAGGGCAGGCTTCTTCGCTCACATGTGTCTTGTATGCTGCCATGCTAGGTTATGATGACCTGACCCAGGGGACAGCAGCAGGTGACTACACCAAGGGTGGCTATGCTGGATCATCACAGACACCAAACAAGTCTGCTGGTTCTGGGCCTGGCAAAGGTAGTGTTTACCCATCCTTTCCAGCATCAAAACATGGAATTGTCTCCTACTTGATCGTCGCAGGCAGGGCCACCTCAGTATTCCTGGAGCTGGGACCAAATGCTCTGGGCAACTAATTGCTTTTCCTCCTAGGAGCATCAGTGCCTTCAGGTGTCACTGGCCTACCAGATATGACTGCTTCTGTCTACAAGACACAGGTAAGGGAGGACAAAGGTGGACAAATAGGTTGGTATTAGGTAAAGTCTAACCTGACCCTCACCTTTGTCATCTTTGCCCTGCAGGCTTTTGACAAGCAGGGATTTCATGCAGGGACCCCTCCACCTTTTAGCTTGCCCTCAGCCTTGGGCTCCACAGGCCCTTTGGCCCCTGCAGCTGCCCCCGGCTATGCCCCTGCACCATTCCTGCACATCCTTCCGGCCCACCAGCAGCCCCATTCTCAGCTGCTGCACCATCACCTTCCACAGGATGCCCAGGTGAGTTGAGTGGAGGAGAGCTGGCCCTCCCTGCCCTGGGGCATGGGTTTTCTCCAACCCTGATAGCCTTTTCTCCTCCTCAGAGTGGCTCAGGACAGCGCAGCCAGCCCAGTTCCCTGCAGCCCAAGTCTCAAGCCTCCAAACCCACCTACGGCAACTCTCCGTACTGGACAAACTAGACCACTGAAGAAGGGGTGGGCTCCAGAGCAGGGCTTACCCTGGGCAGGAGAGAACACAGGAGCGTATTTCTGGGAGCCCGGGGGTGGCGTGGGGGGCTGGGGGGGCTTTCCTAGATTCTTGAAGCTCTGTGGAGAGCCCTCCTCCCAGACTTGCTATTGTATGTAATGTATTTATGTATGTATTTGTAAATGTAATAGAAATCCAGGGCTGCAAGTGGCACCCAAGTCTGCTCTCCCCATCCAGACCTTTCTTACTGTAACCAAGAAAGCCTACACCCCTTCTGCCATCAGGTCTTCCACATGACCATGAGGCAATTTGGGCTTCGGGGTCAGGTATCAATGAAGAATCACAATTTATCTCAGTCCCTTGTGAACCATTATTTGAGTTTCTTTAGTTTGTAATTACTTTATACCTATTTTTGAGAAACTGATCCTTTTGTTATTTGTCGTGGTCTCCCTTCCATCAAATCTTGATCTGGGAATAGCAGATGATCACCTGCCTAACACGAATCTGGGCTGTTTGTCCTCACAGAGCCAGGGCTTTTGCATCTGGTCCTGTTCCTAGAGACTGCCGTCCTTTAGCCAGCCATTTAAAACAAACTAGGCCTCAGAAAAAATAAGCCGATGAGCTCCCCTTTAAAAATCAAAGATCTGCCTCTACTTTAGTGTAAGCCCATCTTCAAGCACAGTGTTTTCTGTTGTCCTGAGCTGGGTGGGCAACTGTTTCGGGTGTTTTCTCTTGCCCATATTCCACCTAATAAAAGTTCTGAAAGCATGCACGGTCTCTATGTGGTATGGCTCAGCAGTGGTTCCTTAAGAGGCACCCTGGATTTCACGGGGCTGGAACAAACTTCCTGTAGCCACCAGCATCTGACAGTAGTCTGTTGGGCTTACACCTTTTTGGCTGGACTTCCTCTTGGCCTAAATGATATGGCTAAAAAGACAACTAAACCACCTCCTAGCCTGCATTCAACAAAGTTAATGCACTCCGCTGCTCCTGAGTATTGACATAAATAAAAAGTATTAAAGGTGAACCCTGTGACCCTACACTGGCTTTGAGACGGTAACTTGACCAGATTAGTAACCCCAATGTGAAATGCTCTGAAACCTGCTGTTTCCGGTTCCAAGCATTTGCACAGTCAACCTATACCTGACTCTGTGCAGTGCTAATTTTAGTAGTCTGATTAAAGTTAGTGATGGAGAATTGAAATTAAGGGCTAACACTTCTGGGAAACATTGGTAGACACTGCCTGGTTTGAAACCTCCTGACTGAACAGTCATCTGTCCCACCACAGCCCTCGACCGCTGGCTTCTCTTGCAAAAAAAATTTTTTAAGAGATGGGACAGTCTCACAGGGCCCTGGCAACAAGAATGCCAAGGCAGGGTAACTTTTCCAAATTTAGAACAAAGCCAAGAACTGAAAGTAGGGATCTAGGCCCTGAAACATGGATCTAGGTGAACAGTTAATACCTGTCTGTACTTTCTTTGCTTTTCATCAACCAGACAACCTTGACCACGTGGAGTATCCAAATGCTTGGGACCAGAAATATACCAGATTTCAGATTAGGGATATTTCACCTGTAGTTGTTACTGTCTCAAAGTCAGCCTATGGTCATCAAAATCAGACTATGGTCACAGAACAGGGTTCACTTCACCTTTTAATACTTTTGTATCTATAGACTTGAACAGTGGTGACTTAAGATGGAAGGCATAAGGCTATTAACTCAACTTGGAATCCTAGCTAGACAAAAGGGCCAGTGTCCACAAAATAGGGCTTTATTAATCTCTTGCTTCATTCCTGGTATTACCAACAGAAAATTGGATACACAAAGACAAAAGTATTGGTCCAAGAAAGGCAGCAGAATACCCTTCAAAGACTGTCCTATTTTAGAATTAAGTTTAACAAACGTGCCTTGAAGAACCTTCTTTAAAAGCTTATATGGTTTGGGGGGGGGGGGTTCTCCAGGGAGATGAGTAGGACTGGTCAGAAAGGCACATTAGCCAGTGGAAGGGGTGGTTTTAATTTTTTTTTTCCAGTATTGAGTATAATTTCTAAGGTAACAATGAAAACACTGACACCACCTTTTAACACAAGGAAAAAAGAAGAGGGTCATCCCATGGGGAAGTATCAATACAGGTATATTTTATTTCACATTTTATTAGTAGACAGATGGGCAGAAAAAGACAAAATAAAACACTAAAGGGGATGTCAACACAAAATGCATCAGATAATTTTTTTCTTATAAGTTAAACTGAAGAAAAACATCTACAACTTCAGCTAAGAAAGCTATTAAAGTCAGGTGTGTCCTGCTGGTTTCAAAATAGTTGAAAATTGCATCTGAATCTTTAGTTGTAAATGTAAACCTTTTTGTCAGGATGGGGAGGGTTAAGAATTTCCAGCAGAGACTATACGTTTTCCCCTTCAAATCTCCTACTACATATGCCCCAAACACAAGGAAACCAGCAAGTAAAGAAGCAAGTAATTGCCAGGAGAAAGACTACAAAAAAGTTTGGCTAGTAGAAAAGAACTCTGGAATGGTAAGAAAAGGGGTGGGGCAGGGAGACTCAAGCAACAAAATCATGATATTTTACTTTCTCCACTCAGCCTCAGAATATATGGAATTGAAGACCAATTTCAGTGAGGCTTCAATTAGAATCAAGAAATCTAAAAATGCAGGGTTTTAAGTTACTGTCACACCAAATAATCACAACTATACTCACAAGGTTCTGGCATGAGCCTGAGACCTCCATCCACTCCAAAGCGCGGGGTGGGGAGTTGGGGGACAAACCAAAAAGCCTTACTCAAGAATTTCTCCACAGGATATATTTTCAGAGACAGGCGTTGGAACCAGCATCTGGGTTTTATACATGAGGCTAAACTATCAGTACCTGCCACCATCAAAATAGCTTAAGCTTCTGGAACCGATTGTACTCTCATCAGAGGCAAACCCAGCTTACAACAGTAATGCCCTGAAGGAAGGGCTGAGAAGTATGACCTTCACTTGGCGCTCTGGTTCCCTGAGTCGACAAGCAATGAGGCCAGAAGGCCTAATGGGACAGAGCTGAACAGCACAGCACCTCCCATAGTGCCAAGGTGCCTGATCTGCCCTGGGAGTGAGATGCTTTAGCAGAAAGAGAACAAAAGGATTCATTTTAGGGCTCCAAGAGCTAAGACCAAGCTACTGGCTGTAAACTTGTGATTGGGGCCGCTGGAGTGGGAGGTAAAAATCAAGAGAGCATTGTGAAAGGCTTTGGCTCCAGAAGGTTTGCAGGTTATCTGAAAGCATTACTTAAGTGTGGGGAGCAAATAGCTCATTTCAAAATTCTATAAGAGTTTATACTCAGAAAACTTAATAGTGCATCTTCACACAGAGCTGCTGTTTCCTGAATCTCCGGAATTGAGGGCGTAACAGCAGCCCTCTAACCCTGTGGAGATTACACAGAGATTCTGGGACCAGGCTAAATAGTGTCCCAATTCCCATTTAATAACAGACCAAACTTTATAGGCCAGAGTTGGCTGCTGAGAAATAGCTTAAGTTTGGGAACATTTGAAGAGCAAATGAAAACCCTGAGATCAGAAAGGAAGGAGGAGCTAAGGAAGTAAGCATCACCTACTCTGACCATCTTAGAATCTGTCCTAACCCTGTCCCTAATCTGCCCTCTAGTTCTTTCTGAGCTATGATCTAAACATGACATGTATACAGGGATCTTAAGTAGGACTATAGTCAGTTTTTGCTGTATTTTCCTTCTGAAATTGATTTTACATTAGTTTTTTCCCACTCAAAGAACACTGAATTTCTGCACCCCATTAACACAAATCACCTTCAAATTCTATAGTCCCTGTAAAGTAAAGGCTGCTGGATCTCAGTCTAGATGGAGACAACACACTACTGAGACCTGGGAATCAAACCTGCAGCAACTGTAAGGCCAGAAGTCCTGATCTGGCCTGGAAACTGCCTATAATCAATACCCTTGGCTCTGCCAAAAGACAGGTCCAATGAAGGAAATTTCTTCTTGTAGTCTAAATATACTGAAAGGAAAAAAAGTCCAGATCACATCCAAGAAGCAAGCAAGAACCAGTCACTCAAGTCTCACACATCCACATTTATCACTATCAGTATAAGCAGCTCATTGACAAAATCTTAACACATGCACCTAGGATTAATACTGAGTAATTAAAAGTGGCTACTTAAATTAAAAACCAAACCAAACCTCATGTTCAGGGTGTATCTTTGAGGGGAAGGCCATGTTAAATACATAAAACAGATGTTTCCTCTCCAACAGTGGCCACCAGTAGTTCTGACTTTTTTTCCCTCAGCAGCGTCAACCAGAGCTGGTATGTTTTTCAACCATTTGTTCTTACCACTAAAAATCCACAGAATAATTTCTGCTTCCTCCCATTTGTCCCACTGCCTGGCGGAGGAAGAAACTTGCCTTTAAAATAAATAGCAACCAAGTGCTCAGTTCTATGGAAAGTATGAATATTTATTTGAGTTTAGATCCCAATCAATTAAAAAAAATAAAACCAAAAATCAAAATTTGATTTTTCTCCTCAGAGTAGCTAAGACCTCCAAGTTAGATTTGTGGAGGCTGAAAGAACATGTGACGTCAGGCTTAGCAAGCAGTCAGTCCCTGATGCCCACTGCATCCCAGCCATACGGGAAAGAAACAAAGTTCACCACCAAGGGCTGAACAGATGTGCACACACTAAGGAAATGAGCAGCTAAACCTTGGCAAGTAGGCGTTTTTGTTTTTTTAAAGTTTTTGGGTTATTTTGTTTCCATTTTCTTTTGCTACCCCATATATGCAGCACTTAAGAACTCCCAATGGGTTCCCAGCTTTAAAACACATTAAATGTCTTAAGACTAATTCTTCAGGAATCTAAAAACAGACCAAACGTGTTTTGCTGTGAACATTTTGTAAAGACGAAGTGAGGCTGGAGTCTGGGTTTTTTTCTTAAAAAAAAAGAATCAATACAGTGATGGAAGGGCAAAGAATGCAAGAATTCAGACATTCTGCAGAGGGTGACTTTCTCTCCATTAAAGGTCCATAGAAAGGAGCAAACCGAGATCCACACGGGGAGGCGGCAGAGCTGTGTTTGTTTCCCCACCCCTGCTGCACAGGTTTTTGCTGGGGGGCCGTGCCAGGCCCCCGGCGCTCCCCTCCCTTTGGCCTGAGACGGCGGGGCAGCTGGCGAGGGCGTCAGGACTCCTCGTTGCCTGAGTCATCATCGTCATAGCAGTCGGCGTCCTCCTCCTCCTCGTCCTCATCGTCAACGTCATCATCGTATAGCAGGTCAGAGCTGTTGTCATTGGAAGGCACTTTAGTTTTGATGCAGTATTCCGCCAGCGTGGTGGGGACCTTCACGCCGTCCTTTTCTGCTTCGGCCTTAGTGGCTGAGACCTGTTTCCTGAAGAGATGGAGGATGACACAGAAATGGTTCGTGGTATGAGCTCAAGATGCCATAACGCACCTTAATTGAGATTTCTTAGCACGCTGCTTTCCAAACTTAAATGCCTGCCTGAATGCATCTAACAGAGACCCCATTACCATGCCCATCGGGTACCATTTTTGAAAATTTTAACAGTAATCTTTTAGGAGCGAAATAAATTACTAATATGAAGGGATTTTGAAGCAATGGCTTCAAATGTTAGGCAAAAAATAACTTTTTCCTAGTCTTTTCACACACACCCCATTTCACTAGGTAGCCTTAACAATTTTCAATAATCTCATACTTTATATTCAGGGCCAAATCCAAATACCTTATACAGCATTCCAAAATCTATGACCTCTCGTGGCTCTTTCAGTCCTAGTCCACTGCTTTCTCCAATTCCAACACCTTCAGGCCAGCAGGGTTTTCTTTTTGTACCATAAGGACACCACCTAGTAGTTGCCTATTCTGTCTGGAACAGTTAGCTGTTCTTTCCCTGATCTGACTCCTGGGCATTCAGATCTCAAGGATCAATTTAAAGAAGGCTTGTCTGAACAACTGAATTTAGCAGGACTTTTTTATTTTTTGATTTCTATAGTGCTTGGGAGGAAAACCAGGGCCTCATATTCCTAAGCAAGCACTGGGAAGTCCTTCAGCCTTAGAGACAACCTAATAAAAAGCCACCTAGCACTCTCATGTCATCCTTCACATTTATCTTACTTATTACTAGTTTACCTTCCCTTCTTTTACAATCTTTTTTGAATGTTTATTCCTCTCTCTTCCCCCGTCAGAATGTGAACTTCATTAAAGCAGATGCCACGTCTTAAGCTACATCTGGGACCCTAGTCCCTACAATATAGTCTGCTACCTAACAAGCTTGTTTTAGTCACTCTTGAAGCTTCTAAGCTTTAGTCTCTGCACTCTGCCAGAAATAGTGTACCCATTCCCATGCTCTGCCAAATTTCTATAGGTTCTTACATTTATACCAATGGCCTTAAGGGTTTGGTATGCCATTAGTTACTGAGGTAGGTGATAAATGCAGCTGCCCAAATTCTATCTTTAAAAATCTCATTAAATAGCTATGGTTCAGGCAAGGTCTAAAGGGGTCACAATGGGAAGAAGCAGAACTGCTGATTTATATCAACAGATTTCTCTATTGCTTGTTTTCCCACATTACACTGCATTTTTGCCAACTAGACTTATGGAAAGGTTGAGCGCGATGCCTTCTATTTTTTTTTTTACTTTTACACTGATAGTCTTCTGATTCTTTTTCTTGGTTATACCATTTACTAGTGTTGTTAATAATGCAAACATCTAGAAGATACACAGCCAAAAACTGCCAATAAACCACAGTGCTCCATTAATTTAAAAAATTTGAAAAAAAAAATAGTATCTTTCATATTCCTAGAATCTGGCATATTTGCGGTAAATATGTTTGCTTCATTTATTGGACCTGCTGAAAGTTCAGAACAGGGTGCTCAAAATGCCTAAGAAGGGAAATCTGCAAACTTGCTTAGTTAAGAACCTGGAAGTTTTGGTTCCTAGGAAAGTAGATCCTCTTCTAGTAGTAGGGTCCTCTCTCAATAGCGAAGTTTACTAAATTTAGGCAGAAAGCTCTTCCCACTCTATAAACGTAATTAAGAGGAGCTAACCTGAGTGAACAGAATATTTAAGTTCAATTTACAGCCTTGGTTGCAGAACACATTTGGGGTTGTATGATGTAACAGGAAACAAAAAATGAAGTGCTTACCTAATGATTTCAGCATATTCTTTGTCTTTTCCTTTACTATCCCTCCATTTCCTGAACATAACCGAAGCATCCACATTGGCTGGGGAGAAGGTGTTGGGCTCATTAAGTAGTGAGATTACACTTAAAAGGATAGTCCTGAAAATACAGAAAGGGGTCAGCTAGGAACACCCATATTCACAGTAGTCAAAAGTATTCTGGTTTTAGTAACAATCAGATTTTTAAAAATTAGATTTTACTGGTACATTTTAGATACACATAGTGATCATAATCAGATTTTAAGTTTTCCTTTGCTTACTATTTAACCTAAGCCTAGGAAAACTGATCATCGTAAAATTTGGTTTTCAGTACTTAGCTGGCTAGGCTAGAAAAAAACTAACTAGAAAACAAGGCAGACAAAGTATGTGAGGCCAGCATAAAGGTCATGCATGTTGCATGACAAGGTGAACTCTGTAGAAGTTACTGTCTCAATTGGCTGTCTACAGAATCAGTAAGGAAAAGGAAAGCCTAAAACACTTAGCTTTGAGACAAGTTTTTCATGGAAGAGAGTAAAAATGACATTGTATAATAGCTCATTTTAAGATCTAAAAAATAGTATCACATACATGTCCTCATACTACTAAGGAAAAGAAGCAGGGCTGGCCAAATAGCTCAGTGGATTAAAGTGCCTGCACGCAGGCGCAGGGGCCAGGGGTTCAATCCCCGGGCCTGCCCATGCTGGCCCTGCCCCCAAGGCACGCTGGGAGGGTAACAGAGACTGGGTGTGGTGGTGCTCGCCTATAATCCCAGCACTTGGGAGGCTGTAATCACTATAAGTCCCATCTAGAAGTGAGACCCTGAACACCTTGTAGACCCTGCCTTAGAATACTTAAGGGAAAAAAAGAAAAAAAAAAAAAGGAAAGGAAGACGAGTTACACAGGACTACAGGAAAAGCGAAGCACTGACATGGAGGAACTAGTGTCTGGATGATAGAAACCTTAACTCAAAAATATTTACGAAGTATCTACTGTATAACAGAGGCACCAAGTGAGATGTTACAAGTACAGTGGGAAGCAATTTAATACCACCCCCAATCTCCAGGTTTATAAATCTGGTATGAACATGTGTTTTTAATCCTAATATAAAAATCTGACATTCCTGCCAGTGACAGAACATAAAGTTTGTTAAAATAACCAAGCAGGGCCGGGGAGACAGCTCAGTGGAATAAGTGTTACCAGTCCTGAGCTTGATCCCTGGTATGGGGGGTTGGGAGGGACAACGACAAGGGCTGGGAGCATAGCTCAGTGGCACAGGGTCTTAAGACCCTTCCCCCAACAGCTTTCTTGACTTCTTCAGTAATTACATTAAAATCATCACTGCCAACAAAGGAAAATGAACTGACCACAATTTACTAAATGTGCATAGCATAATAACCACAGCAAGAGATTCCCTCCCCTCAAAAAAATAAAATGCACATAAAAATCTGTTAGAAAAAACAGTAAGGACAAAGTATGGTACAAAAGTGGTGGGGAATATACACACAAAGACTAGCAAATAGCAATCCAGCAAGTTGTAATGTCCTAAAGATCTCACAAATGTTCAAACCAAATCAAACAATAAATATGGATTTAACTAGGGCTGGAGAGGTAGCTTAATGGAAGATAGCTTGCTTCTAATGTGTTAAGGTTCTGGGTTCAATCTCCAACATTGCAGGAAAAAACAGTATTTAAGGGAGACAGGAAATGAAGATTAGAGACATAATTGTTAATACTGTATTTGACCCTTTTCAACCCACAGACAACAGTGAGATGGGTCTACCTGATTTCTGCTGCTAGCTATTATATCACTACAAGTGTAACTTTAGCAAGACAGAAAACTGGCCATATTTCTGGCTCAAGAGTCTGCCTAGAAATCAAGAAAAACATGATTATTTTTAGAAGGAGTGATTTTTATTTCAAAAAGATGCACTAATACTCAATTCAGTTTTCAAACAGTTGCACTACTGGTTTCTCTTTCTCCCTGCTGGCCCCAAAGAGACCACACCAATGGGAGTACTTTTTAAGTCAATGAACTGCAGGATGTACTTATGCTTAACATATGTACAGATTTAACAGATCTCATAAAAATAATATCACCAAGAAGTGGGGACTGAGTGGGAAGAAACTTTCACTACACTGGCAGGCACAGATTGTAAAGAATTTTCAAAGCATGCCTGGATGTGGTGGTGCTATGAAAATAGCACTTGGAGGCTGAGGGAGGAGGATCACCTAGAGTTTGAGGCCAGCCTGAGCAACATAATGACCAGCCTGAACTGCATAATGAGGCTCTGTCTCAAAAAACAAAGCAAAACAAATCTGAAAGCCAGAATTAGGGTGGTAAGGCTGTTCTAACCCACAAAGAAGAAATGCTTCAAAATAGTACAAAATTTAGTATTTTATACACAAGCTAGTCAAGATTTTTACAGCATTGGCACCAAACAAAATGGGATATAGCACTTTTAGAGATAAATTTTAGACACAGAAAAAGGTGGTACTTATTTATAAGGCTAAATCAGTACCTAAAATTTTCTTTCAGAAAGCCGGGAGAGCCATTAAGTTGTACTTCAACATGAAGGGGCATATATGATCCTTTGAGTGGCTGGAAATGGGTAGCGATGGCATAAACACTTTATCTCAGGTCTTACTATCTTAACTTGGTCAGAAGTTAAGAATTTTGTAGATACACAAAAGACAGACACATGCACCCGCTTCTCCACACCAGGATCTACACACACCCCTCCAGGTAGCATATGAGATACAGCTCATTCTTTAAAATTTAAGTTTACTGTACTCTCAAACACTTAGACTTTGGGTTTTACTGGTCCACTATAATTCAGTAAAGACTGATGTGTGGAGAAGAAGTAAAGCCCAACTCTCTGGTACCAAAAGTGAATTCCACATACAGGTGATACCAACTGTAGTGAAACTGGGTGCTTCCATGACTTCTGTATTATTCTGAGTCCTTTTAATCTCTCCCACTATTTCAAAAGACAGACCTACAACATCAGAAGGTGACCCTGTCAAAGCTGGGTCCTCACTACCTATTATAGCATGGATGAGGGCTTAAAGGACACCAAGATAAAGATGCAACTTATGACTGGGGAAACAGGACAGTTAATGGCAAAATATAGTAACTCAATGGTTCACATGACTACATTTTTTTTCTTTTTTTTGTGGCGGAGCTGGGGATTGAACTCAGGCCCTCATGCTTGCCAGGGAAGTGCTTATTCCACTGAGCCATCTCCCTAGCCCCTACAATTTTTCTTGATGCTGTTAAAATAAGAAACAATACCTGCTGTACCCTGTTGTAACTACTGTTCACTGAGATACCTTTTTGAGAATTGTAAGATAGAAATGAGAGCTTCATTAAAAGGCAAGTAAATATAAAACTGAGAGCAAATAAAATAACTCCTGACCCAGAGTAGAATATGAGAGAAGGCTAGAACAGAGCTACAGGTGTTCTGGCTTTGCCTACCCTGCCACCTAACACTTGATGCAGTACCCTGGCTCTCTGCCCTTTCAGAGAAGACCAGACAGAAAAACTTACCCTACTCCTGAGAGCTTTTTATATCAAACAGTGACTGCTGGACTGAATTCAGCAACTCGGTCCCACCAAGACCCCTTTTATATTCCATTCTACATGAGGAATAACAAGTAATTCTGGAGCTGATTGCTCAAAGAAAGCAGTTGTGAGCTGTATAGCAAGGTCTGAGAGATCCCCCAAAAGGATCTCACTTGGTTATCAACAAAGTACAGAATTAAGCAGGCTTCATTACCTCTATAAGAGGCACTGGGTTGTGAACTACTCAACAGACATGTGGCACCACCGGGATCCCCTACGCTCCCCTACTCCTCTCTTGCTGACTAACTCCTTAAAACCTCTCCATTCTGAAGAAATTCTCACTACCTCCTTTCCCCTGAGTACACAGATTTCTTTTTTCAGAAGGTATACTTGTTTTCCTTAAGAGACTGCAAACTACTGAGTTTTTATGATGGACACAACAGCTAGATGTTCTGGAGCTCTACTACTGTGGCACCTTTTTCTGGGCCCCTTCACTTCTGGACTATCCCTACTCACTAACCCAGGTAGGGGTGGGGTGGGGTGGGGGTGCTGGCACTTAAACTTAAGGCCTTAGGAATACTAATCAAGCACTCTACCACTGAGGTATATGAATCCCTGACCTGCTTTAGGTCTCTTAAAGGTAACTAAATCCCTAATTCTTCAGGCTACAAAGTCCTCCATATGCAACTTTATCTGAGAAGCTGAGTGAAAGACTTCAGTAAAGGTGATTGTTATGGATAAGGAGTATGGAAACACATGTGAATAGGGAATCACTTTTAATAACAGTATAAAAACCACAGCCACAACTTCACAATAGATTATTATCCAGAATCCTTTGAAAAACTGCTGATCCTTGAAAGTTTAAAAGCAAAGATGTACAAGCAAAAAAAGGTTGTCCAACTGCTATTTTTTCTTTTAGGGGAATAGGACGGGCTCAAACCCAAGGCCTTATGTGCTGGACAAACATTCTACTGCTCAGCTATATCCTGAGGTGTATCATATATCTTTCCTCCTAACATGTCAATGACGTAAGTAGTAAGAAAATAATCTATCTTAAGGACCTCCTGTCCTCGCAATAAATAACAAACAAAAGCCATCCACACCTAATTACTACATTGCACTTTTCTGACCTCTCTTGAGAGTACAAATATTCCAGGCAAATGATGGAACACACTTGTAATTCCTGCACTTGGTTGGCTGAAGCAAGAGGATCAGTGAGTTGAAGGCCAGCCTGAACTATACAGTGAAAAACTGCCTCAGATGTAAAAAACAAACAAAAAAAGCATTTCTGAATACCCTATGGCTCCTAGAAACTCACAAATACCAAAAAGACCAACACATTGAAGGAAAAGTCAATAATTTACATACAGCTCAGAGACAAAAGATCAAATAAGGCAAACGACTGTCAGTGCACCTATCTTGTAGAGCTGTATATGAAAACCTAAAAAATGACTCCGAGATGAGTTATGGTTGTAAAGCAACTAACCAAAAGAGCATAAAAGCAGAGAAGAGATCCCCATAGCAAACTCTGGGGAATGTCTCTAAATCAGGCCATAAGG